GAGGCAGCGCGTTCAACCTTTAGGCTCCAGGGGCCCCGCGGTGTGAGTAGTACACGGTGTGTCGCCAGCTTCGGGACTAACCGAGGGCTTCTGTCCGCCCGCCTAGGGACTGGGCCCTGGTAGGACGTCTCCAGGGCTCCTGCCAGGGTGCCGCGGCTCCGGGAGGAGGGGGTTTCATTGTGTACCAGGCCTGCGCGACTGTCTGTGGGGCTCTTGGGAAGCTCTCAGGGGCTGCGCGCTCCTCCTCTAGGCTGGCCGCGCTCAGAGCAGGCGCTTGGAGGGGAAGACCCGCTGTGCTCCACTCTCCCTGTCGTCATCGTAGGTCGTCGTCGTGGTCCTTGTAGACTGCTCTGTGACCACCATCGGAGGTTTCAGGCCCGCTTTAAGTGTCCCACACAAGTGACACCGGGCACTGGGCACCCTCGAGTCTCTCTGCAATATGCCCCGCAGTGCTTCCCTTCCGGGAGATGTGGCCCGCAGCCCTTCAATTCTGAATCCTGGGCTCGGGTCCACAAGAGGCAACCTGGGAAAAAGCAAGCAGGCACTGGGCGAGCACCAGGTTTACAGTGACTTGGGGCTGATAGGAACGGCCTTGCAAGCTGTTCAAGTGAGGACTTTGCCTTTCTCCTTGACCTGAGTGCAGGCTCAGGAGACTTCTAGGGAGGAAAGAGGGAGCCGTCCCAGGCTTGCTCCTGGCTTAATCATAGCATCCATGGCCAGGAGCTGGGGATGTATTTAGTGGCTGTGCCACTTCTCTGAGCTTCAGTTTTCTGACCCGGGAAATGGGTATCAATGCCAGACCATGGTCAGGCTTATACCCAGAGCGTGGGTGTGAACAAACATGCTTAAAGTGAAAGCTCCACACAGGTGAGAGGAACTGTCCGAGTTCTTCAGGTCTTCCTCCATTGTCCCCATTGTTCCAAAGTCCGAATCAAAAAGCCTCAACTTCCCTCTTCAGACTGCCATGGCTCCTTTCTAAGCCTGGCCTAACACTTGGGGTCCAGAAAATGGGGAGGTGCTAAAAGGTGTTTCAGGTATTGTAGGTTAGAAGGAAGTTTGCTGCTGTAGTGAAAATCTAAGGAGCCCCTGTGGTTACCAGGCAAGGGCTGAACTCCAAGCTAGGGGCTGCTTTTGGTGGTTAGGGAGCAGTCTCAAATAAAAAGGAGCCAGAAGGCCAGCAGAGGTCAGAAGGTACTGTACTCTGGCTCCATACCAGGCGCTCCTGGTGCAGCAGGCCCCCAGCTTGCCTGATGGAGATGCAGCTTTGGAGCAATTCGAGAAGGTACCACACTGGCATCCACACACAGTTCCAGGAAGAGTGCAGGGGACACAGGGCTGTCTATGCCTCCCTGGGGCAGTCACCACAAGCAAGTGCTGCGTACCTGTCTTCTCTCCGCTATCATTGCTTTCTTTCAGCTTTCATTTGAAGGCAGCTGAAAGAGAAAGAAAAGCTACCACCACCCCCCTTTGATTTTGTTTCTTTGCGTTCAACAGTAAATCAGGATGGTGTGTGTGAAGAGACAGACAGTCTTGATGTGAGGAAGGAGGTAAAACCCGATGGTACTGCGTGTGCCTCCCGGAGTTGTGCACAATTCCGGAGGAAAAGTTGGCTCTCAAAATGGATATCTCAGGAGACCAGAGGCTCACAAGCTCTCCACTGGCATCTGAAGGACAGTGCCTGTCTCCTCCAGACACTCGGGGTAGCAGAGGCCCAGACCAGCATCGAGATCTGCCTGCCAGGGCTCAGCCCCTTGAGGTTGGAACCCAGAGCAGTAAGGCAGAGGCCCTTCACATCACACGGTTTCCAGCAAATACCGAGCTGATTCCACCACCTTTTGCCAGAGGACAGCGAAGCAGGCTGCCCTGGGAAAGTGGGATCCGCGCACTCCAGAAGGCAGGGTGCATCACCAGGGCCTGTCTGGGCAGCCCACCCGTCCCTTAGGACTGCGGAGCCAGCGATCAGCTCAGCTGATATTCCGTAAGGATTCAAGACCCTGTGTCTTGGGACGTCCCCCGCCAGCCACAAGGGGGCGCCAATCTGGGCGAGCTGCAACCCCAGCTTTTCCACTCCAGCACAGCTAGCGCCCCCGAAAAACTTCGCGGGCCCATTCTCCGAGCCACCATGCTGAGGCAGGGGGTCCGAAATTCCGGGTATGGGGCCATGGCCGCCTTTGCACGGTAGCTGGCCATCTACTCGGCTTAGGTGGTCCCTACCATCCGGTTCTTAAAGCAGAATCGGTCCCCTCCTTTCCACAGCTTTCGGAAGGAAGCCCAACTCTCTAGAATCGCACTGAAGGACGAACTACGGAGCGGAAAGCTGGTACTGAAGGAGAGGTACATTTCCAAGCCATTCCCTCCCCTCCGTGGTCAGGAAGCCTCCCTCGACTCCCACCTCCAGCTTAGAATGTAGTGTGCGAGATCGTGGAAGTGGGGCGCAACCCCGGGAATCGTCAGGCGCTCGGGTTCAGGGGTTCCTAAGGGGCCGCACCCGCAAGGGTCCCTCGCCACTAGGCGCCGCTGTGCGCACGCCGATCTCGGCGCAGGGCCACCGCGTCCTCCTGGAGAGAGGCCTCTGGGTGGTGCGCCGGAAAAGGATTTGCCGGAGCAAAATTTTTAAAAAAATGTTTTAAAGGTATTTATTTTACTTTTCCTTTCCAAAGAGTTTGGAGAAGTGGAGTGACTGGGAATCACAGCGAGTTACCGGACTTCTTAACTTTCCTCCCGTCTCTGGTCACCTTTCGCTAGCCTTGGACCCGGGAAAGGCTCATTCTTCGCAGGTAACTGGCATCGGCTCTTCCCGAGCGGCGCCGCCGTCGCACCGCGAAGACTCAGAGCTGCGGCTCTTCGGGAGGGTCCCAACCCGGGCGAGCTGGGCATGGCGCAGTCAGTGCTCATGGGCTAGAGCGCACAAGCCTCCTCCTGCAGGAGCGGTAACCAACACTGTGCCAAGCTCACCTATTCTTTTCAACAACCCTTAAGGTATCCATACATACTTCCTTTCCACAGAGGCGACAGACAACGCTGGAGAAAATGGAATCGCACAGGCTGTGAACCCAAAGGACTCCCCCGCAACCCTTGTCAGCACCCACTCCGGAGCAAGGCGGAGGGAGCGGGCCCTGGGGCGGCTGCCCCTCTGTAGGGTAAGGGCCAGACGAACTCAGAGCGGCGCTTCTCAGAGCTCCCTGGCCATCTCTGCCCTTTGTCGCCTCCAGAGGGCTAGGACCCCAGGCCACTCTCACCCTAGCCCCTCCTGGGGGAAGTTGGGGGCCTCTGCTGGAGCTCGGAGAAGCTTGGCTTAAGTGTCAGGCCAGCATTAGCTCATTTGTACGACTTTATTGTTCACGGTCTTTGAAGACCAGCATCATGCCTCGTGTGGGTAGACAATAACAGCCACATCCAGGACTGGGGCTTTTACTATGTGCCAGGCATTGTCTGGACACTTTAGTTTTTCTCATTAAATAATTTCGAGGACCAACATACTATTCCTTATTCCCATTTGCAGGAAGAAAAACAGAGGCCCGGAGAGGTTAAGTAACTTGACCAAGGTCACACAATAATGCTGTGAATACGAGTCCCTCTTTTTTTTGGAGGGGACAGATTTATTAAGGTATAATTACACACAGTAAAATTCACACTTTGCACTGTGCATACAGTTGTATGAGTTTTGAAAACCACAGTGGTGTAGATAAGGTCAAAATCAGAAAGTGGAGTCCTTTGATTACTCGTCCCCTCCCCCAAGAGCGTCACCACTACCCGCTCTAGCTTCTCAGGCAGCATTGGCTGTATTTCTGCACATGACAAAATGAGGTCGGGGAGGTTGTGGTGTTGCCCAAATTCCTTCATCAGTTAGTAAAAATTCCGGGACTGGAATTGTTGCACTTCCTTGGGGGCGTGCAATGCGGAAGGGAGGAAGCCCCATTGCAGGCACAGATACTTATGGCTGGCTTGGGAACAAAAGGGGGTCGGATTCTGCAAGGGAGGCCTGAAGCCAGGAGCAAAGTAAGCTGCAGCCGCATGACCTGAGAGCTCAGGGTCCGAGGCCAGCCCTGAGTGCTCAGCCTCCTCTGGCAGTGTGGTTAATGAGTTACTCTGCTAGTTAATGCCCACGCATGGAGGGCCCAGCAGCACCCAGTGGCAGGGACCTTCACTGCGCCTCATATCGGGGCTCAATAATTAGCATAGGTTACCTAGCTTCCAGGGGCCTCCCACTGCCCAACTCACTGAATCCCTGCTTGGAGCACACTCCCTCCCCACCAGCTTGGAGCAGAGGAGCTGGCTTGCTTCCTTCAAAAAGGTGGGCACCTCCCTCGCTCTCTCCCACACCCCACCAGCCAGAGTCCTGCAGAAATCCTGGCCTTTGAAGGGCAGTTTTCAAGAGGCAGGCAGCTCCTGGAGGATGCCACAGGACCTGACTTGGCCCTTAGAGCAGTCTCTCCTCTAGTCCGATAGAATTTCCCCCCTAGGGCAAGAGGCTGAGGGGTCCAGTCACGAGCTGGCTCCCTTAGGACACTTGCCCAGTGTCTGGGCCAAGGAGGAGAAGGGTTAATGGCATACCCACTATACCTTAAGGACCCAGGGCTGAACATTTTAAAAGTGGGGAAACCCCTTACATACCACACACTTCTGGGGTCTCACGAGGACCATATTCCCTTTGCCCTCAAGGTCAATGACTGTTATAACCCCAGCCAAGATCACTAATGCCAAGTGCAATAAATCAATGGCTGTTCCCTGCGCCATGGTCTGGGCAGGCTTTTAGTGGCCTTGGATTGGATCACTGGAGGCCGAATGCTGAGGCCTGGCTCTACCCTGCAGTCCTACAAAAGATCACACAGAGAAAGTGGTCTCTCTCCTTACCTCAGGATCCTGGTTGCAGTCTGTCCAAACTGGGTGTTTGTTTCCAGCTTCAGAAACTCTAGGGCTGACTCCTACCTCTGCTGGAGCTTGCTGGCCCAAAGACCTCCACCCTTCACTTCATGGGGACTTCAAGTTTCCCTGCTGGGGCAGGCAAGTGGTGCCTCTGTCTCCACAGCCTAGTGGGGGTATTGAATATTTTGGGCGATGATGGTCCAGGACTGAGGAGAGTAGTCTCTGGGCCCACCTGCATGCCGAGGTGCTGGACCCAATGCCCAGAATCTTTGGGCTTGGGAAAAAAAGGGGCCAAAGCATAGCCATCTAGAACAAAGGGTGAGAACTCAGCATGGCCCCCAGCCTGGAGCCGATGGTGCAGAGGCCCAAAGCCCAAGACAGGAGCCAATTTGTCCCTCAGTGAGGCCAAAGCTGAGGCCCACCAGGGTCTCCAGAGTAAATGTGTGTGTGTGTGTGTGTGTGTGTGTGCGCGCGCGCGCATGTGCACATGTGCCCTGAAAAGAAGATCGAGGGGCATAAGATAGGTGACCTCTGTGGGCTCCCAGCTAACCTATTTGGAACCCAAACAACACCAAACCAAACCAAACCAAACAAAAACCTCTCCCAACTTCTCTTTTGGCTGGAAGGGGGTTCTCAAGGGTGTTTCTGGTCATCTCCCCCTCCTCAACACAACAGTATACAGTACCTGTAATAAAGTCAAGAACATGATAGAACCAAATACATAGCAGTGGATGAAACCAAGGGAGTTAAAGAGAAGGCCAGAGGGCAAGGAATGGGGTGGCCTGGGGAGCCTGGAACATGTCCTAAGTCTCCTGATCCTTGGCTGAATCTGGTGGAGTTGTGGCTTCCCTTTTGGGGACTCCACTTCTGTTCCCCCCATTGACTTCTGCTAGGTCTCACAGCAACCTAGCCAGCAAACAGAAGCATTTCTTCCTCCTTACCATAAATGACCAGGCCTGGGAGTAATAGATTTAAAAGACGCCAGCATTTTTTTTATTATTAATTGCAAAATACCTGCTGGTACTTCACTTTATGAGTGTAATTGGCAAGGGGGAGGGAGGAAAAAAGAGGCGGCTGATGAATAGATAATAGATCTTTAACCACCAATAAACAGAGAGTAGCGCCAGCAGCCTGGGGGATGTGATCATAATTATGCCGCAGCACGAGCCAATGGGGACGAGAGAACGCGGCCCTAAAATCATCCCAAAACCAAAGGCGAGCTCGAAAATGCGGACACGGCCTGGAACTGGAGACGCGATCTGCAATCTCTAGTTGCGAGTCCTGGATTTGCACAGCAACCCAGCCCTGGGACAACAGATGGCAGAATCATAATAGAAATAATAATAACAGCCAGAGCAGCAATAATGTCGGCACTGATATAAATAATAACGACAACTGGATAAGAATAGCACCACATCAGCTTCACCCCTGATCTTGGAGCCCCGGTCCCAATACCCCAAGAGGAACTGTTGTAGGGAGCAAGGCGAGCACCCTCCCAGACAGAAAAAGCGGGAGGCCGTGCAGCGAGAGCCTGTGTATGCTGGAGGTTCAAGGCCCGCAGGGTGGGCAGCTCCCGCGTCCCGATCGCAAACCATCGAGCCGGGCCAAGGAATACGAACGCGCAGACTCTGGGACCTCTAAGCTACCGGTGGTTGGGGGCGGGACCCCTCGACCGTCGGGAGTTTCTCTGGGGTGGGGATTGGGTCAGTCTAACGGAGCCTTTAGCCCTCGTCTGGAGCCAGTCCCCAGCCGCTTACCCTCGCAGAACTCCCGGGGCCATCTCGGCTCCACCGACGCGGGGCCGCAGCGGCAGAGCGCTGAGGGAGAGGCATCCGCACGCCTGTCTGTCCTTGTGTCCTACCAGTTCCGGCGCAGCTGGCTTGGGGTCCAGGGGGCCCGCGGTGGAGGCGGCAAGGGCCGGGGAATCTGCAGGGACCCCGGTGCCCCAGAGGGAGTGGTGCTGGTAGAGGAGGAGGCGGTGGCTGGCGGGGGAGGAGGAGGGGAAAGAGGAGGAGGAAGAAAAGAAG